TGCACACACATGTATATAGATATAGATACACACACACACACACACACACACATATATATATATATATGTATACATCTACATATAAAGGTTTGATAGAGAGAGAGAAAAAGAGAGAGAGAGAGAGGAAAGGAACACTGTCATCTGCTGGTTTACTCACCAAATGCCCACAATGACCACAAATGGATTAGGTTGGAGCCAGGAGCTGGGAATAGATTTTGGTCTCCCATATGGATGGTAGGAACCCAATTACTTGAGACATCACCTATACCTTTCAGAGTATTCATCAGCAGGGAGCTGGAGTCAGGAGCTGGCCTAGGGATCAAAGCCAGTCACGTTCACGTAGGTTTGGGGTGAGGAATCAAAGCCAGTCACTTTGACGTAGGCTGTGAGTATCTGGACCACTAGGCTAAATGTTCACTCTACAGAGGAATCTTGATGCAAATCCCATCTTGAATGAATTTTAAGCAATAGAAATTTTAAAAATTTTATTTATCTGAATGCAAGAGAGACAGAGATAGAGAGCATTTCTGTCTTCTGGTTCTCTCCTCAAATGCCAGTAATGGCTGAGGCTAGGTTGAAATGAATCTGAAGCAAGAACTCAATCCAGGCCTCTCAGGTGAGTGGTGGGAACCCAGATAGTGAGCCATCATTGCTGCCTTCTAAGGTTTGCATTAGCAGGACGCTGGAGCCAGGAACCAGAGCTGAGTATTGAATTCAAGTAATTCTGTGTGGGTTGTGGGAATCTTGAGTCTTAACTCACATCTCAATCCCCAATGCAGCTTTTGATACTACTCCTTTAGTATGATAGATGCCAATTACAACTCCCACTCCAAAAGAAAAGAAAAGAGAAAATACTTAAAATGTAATCTCTTTTTTTTAATTTATCATATAGCATTTATCTTACAATTAAGGTAATTTAATTACTGAGTAATGAGTTTTTACCCATTTATTATGGCAATAACCACCACTGAGATCAATTATCTGTGGTAGTCACTCACAGTGCACATTTAGAAAATGGCTGCCATCCAGTCAGTGAAAATGTTTATCCTGGCAATTTCCATTACAAGTGAGCTATAGCTACAGAATTATTTCCTTAAAGTACAGAACAAGTGTTAGGAATGAGAAGGCTGAGAGGGTGGTGTAATTTTTAAAAATTTTATTTTCATCTATTTGAAGGACAATAAATGGGGGGTGGGGAAGAGAAAGAGAGAAAGAGAGAGAGACAGAGAGAGAGAGGGAGAGAGATAATTTTTTTGCAGTTGCTGATTCATTTTCCTAATGCCCACAACCGCCAGGTCTTGGCTGTGTCAAAGCCAGGAGCCAGGCAATCCACCCAGGTCTCCCACATGGGTTGGCAGGGGCCCAAGCATTTGGGCCATATCTGTAGCCTCCCTAAGTGCATTACCAGGAACCTGGATCTGTAAAAGTAATAGCCAGGACTAGAACCAACACTCTAATATGGTAGGCAGACATACCAAGCAGCAGCTTAACCCACTGTGCCACAATACCCACCCCAGGGGCCGTTTTTTGAATGACACCTGAAAAGATGTTCCAAACATCCGAAGGCTTTGGTTGTGGATCTTGACCTGAGGTTTGTCATGATGCAAGAAGAGATTAACATCAACCCAGAATTAGGGATCCACGGTCATGCAATAACCAATCTTTGACCACACAGTCAAAGACTAAAGGAAAATCTCAAAAAAACTCAATATCCTAAGTTCTGTCTTTTATATTTTCTAGAATGTGATGCAGATAATACAAATGGCGTTCCCAATGACTGAACTTAAACTGATCTTACTCTTCGTAGAGAACCTTAGCACAAAAATAGTGGGGCAAATATTTTTTTCAAGAAGGAAATGGTATTAAAAATGAAAAAAATCAAATATTTTGTGAGTAATACTGGTTTTCTTTAAGCAAAAGGCTAAAACTCTACATCTAATAGTACAGTGTGGAATTATTCCTGGGACGTTAATGAGAGATCACATATTGAAAAGGCTCACAGCCTACCAATTGGAGGACCTAGGTCCTTCTGTGGGCAGGACAACTTTACTAGTTTGTTCAAAGTATGAATGCTAAATAGGTAATGGATATAATAGTCACTGCATTTACTCAATGATTACAAAGGTCCTTTATATGACGCTGGTACTGTGGCGTGGCAGGTAAAGCCAGCGCCTGCAGTGCTAGCATCCCATATGGGTGCCAGTTCCAGTCCTGGCTGCTCCACTTCCGATCCAGCTCTCCGCTATGGCCTGGGAAAGCAGTACAAGATGGCCCAAGTCTTTGAGTCCCTGCACCTGCATGGAAGACCAGAAGAAGCTCCTGGCTCCTGGATTCAGATAGATGCAGCTCCAGCCATTGAGGCCAACTGGAGAGTGAACCAGAGGATGGAAGACCTTTCTGTCTCTCTCTCTGCCTCTCCTTCTCTCTCTGTGTAACTCTGACTTTCAAACAAATAAATAAATAAATCTTAAAAAATATATCCTTTATATATAAGTAAGACAGGTAAATATCTAAAGTCAAGTTATTCAGCCTGATTTATAAACATTCCCAAGACCCAGAATATTTGAAAACACAGGTGTACTTAGAGAATTAAAAGTAGTTCAATCATCCTTGACTTGTGTGTAGCTTGGGTGTCTTGATCCAGTTAAAGAGCCTTGTTTACCAGGTTAGAGGTTTTGAAATTCAAATAAGAAATTATAAAAATATTTTTAAAATCATTTCAGTCTACTCGAGAGGAGGAGAGACAGAGCTTCCATCTGCTGGTTCCCATAGAGTTATCCCACCTGGCTGTCTTGTTCTACAGAAATAATTCTTAACTATAGGTGGATCTTCCTTACTTCCCAGAAATCATCCTGTATTTCTTTCATCAAGGGAGCTCCCTTCCTCCTAGGTGGCTAATGCATAACATGTTCCATATCTTCCAACTTCTTGCATCCCCTAGACCATCCACACATTTCAATACAACCAAGTACTACACAGATTGCTTATTGTACTGCTTATCATCTGCTTCACTGGGACATAAACTCTACAAAGGTAAAGACTTGTTTTTGCTTTTTATTGTCTTTTCCTTCACCCAGTAGACTTGCCACAACATAATAATTGATATTATCTAATGATTACATTCATTAATACCTTTATATAGTACCTGGTCCACTGTGGTTCTTAATAAATACAAGTTATCATAATTATAATTATATTACTAATAATACAATAGGGCCTCTAGGTTGCATCTCTACAGGGCTTGCATTCAGAATGGAAGGATGACTTGAATATAAATTAACACAATGGATGAACTAAAGAAACAAGATCCTAATGGGATGAACAATGAGTGTGGCAGCTCTGATACTTGAGGCTAGAACCCAGCGATGCACCGACAGAGAGCAGGCTGACATTGTAAAACCAGAAAAGACGCTGGAGGAACCACCCAGAAAAACAGACAGGACTCTGAGAGGTAAGCCCGTGTGAAGGATGAAACGGTCGATACCTGTCAAATACTTGAGAGTGAATATTACCACAGAAATGGCAAGATAGTAAATGTTGAGATACAAATAATTAAAACTGTAGGAATTTTAAACAATTGACATCTTCAGAATCAAGTGCCTAAATGCAACAAAGAGTTGGCAAGATTGTTAAAAGAAAAGACTTTTCAAGCAACACATGTTCTCCACCTCTGATTTTCTCAAAGAAGTGACAACTGAACCATAACTGACATATGTGGCTCAAGGAAAGTAGTCTCCCAGCTGGCTGACAGTGGAAAGCCTTCTACAGGTGGGGTGGTAGTAGATGATGAAGTAGATTCCCTTACAGAGTGAAATCTGAGATCAACCATGCATGCAAACCATACAATCACTACACACTTAAAGAAGAATAAATAATGTAGAAATTCTATAAGTCCTTTCCCTTTAAGACCATACTGTGAAAGAATAAAAATGGCACAAAATTAACCTAAAATGTAAAGTATTTTAATATGGTGCTCTTTACTTTTAATTAATTGTATTTGTTGTGGGATGTCTAATACATCTCAAATTTCAGGAAAGGAAATTTAGAATCAGCTATTGCTATCCTCAGCAATACAAGATATATTTTCTTTCCCTCTATCTTTGTGGTTTAGGATTTGAAGAGTTCTTAACAATTTTGCTCAATAAAGGCATTTAAAATACAACTAGTATTTTGCAGATAATTACAAAATGAATCACAAGTGGGTGAAAATTGAGTGATTTGATTAATTTCTAAGTTGACCTTTAGAAAAGCATTTGTCTAACATGTCTTAGATGTAATATTTTTATCATATCAAATTCCAAGCATTTCTTTCCATGTTGATTTGGCAAATGAAAAGTACATTATGGACATAAAACAGTTTTATAAAAACTCACTTTATTGATAATTTAGGCTTTAAATGGGAACAGGAATAAGAAGATAGTCTTTGAATACTTGCTTCTGTCTTTACCAAGGTTTGTTCTTTTCAGAGTTACATTACTCATATATTTTTCACTTCTGTAGTTATTGAGTTGAGTACTTATTTTGCAGGTAAATTGATTGTTCAACAAAAAATTAAAAACAGCTAATGGCAATGCATATTTTTTCACAAAGGCCATATCATCATTTTAGGTTGCCTCTGATCTAGATGAGAGACCTCACCACAGCAGATATATAATCTGCATCCCCAGCAAAATTGCCACAAAGGAAAACTCGATCATTCTGGGAAGCTGGATCTATAAAATAGGTAAAATATACAAGTGTCCTGCCTGCACACTTTCTCATAAATACAGCTTGGCTCAGTGATACAGCCTGAGTCAGCTCCAGCCCTGGCCCACCTTGCAGGAAGGTGTGCTGTGACAAGGAGGAGCAAGGCAGTACAGTGGGCAGTGGGGACGCGGTTCAGCTCTGCCCCGTTCTGCCGGGATCACTGAGAAGCTAGTGCTGGCAGTGCTGTGTGGCACAGCCTGCAGTTTGGTCCTAAGTGGCCCTGGGTCACGGCAGAAGGAGAAGGGGACACTCACCAGCACCACCGGGCAGATTGTTGTGGGAGGTAAAATATGGTCCTTCAGCGGTCCACAGTCACACTCGGGTTTGAGGTGAGAGGCGCACTTGTTATGCAGCTGGAAAAGAGGGGGCAGATCATGTTTCAAGGGAGATACAGCAAACACACTCAAAGTCCATGAAGAGAACTATGAGAACAAACACAAGGGATCCTAAACGAATTCACATTGCATTAGCCCTGACATTACTACCTTAAATAAACTGTGTAGCAACTTCTGCGACCTAGCCTACATATTCTTCATACCTCAAAAACGTTGGTATTAAGAATGCACTTACATTTTGGGTTGAAAAACCCTGATTTCTTTAATAAACTCAAATCCTTATCCACTACAGCATTCTGTTTGCCTGGAATACTGCACCATAGATGCTGCTTTTTTTTTTTTTTTTTTGACCCTCCTGTTTTCTCAAAGTCACTCCAAAGTGCACAGCTCAGTATGTGGCATAATTGATCCCATCATTAGCTTTAACTTTGTAATTCAATATGTAAATGCAACCCGAGATTCCTCTCAGTAGGAGCAGGATATAAATAAAATAAGATGATTATGATGATAAAATTTTATCTTTATATTGTATTTATCAGCTCGACATTAAGTCCCTGTATCATCATATAACACACTATGTGTTTTTCAATATGCATGAAACCAAACTTGTTTTTTTTTTTTTTTTAATCAACCTTGGTCATTAGTTTAAATTAAAGGGTTACAGCATAGTGTATTAAAGAGTGGTATTTCTAAATTGAGGTGGCAGTTTCTGTTGGAATCTCACAGATTTGATAAAATAACGCTTGCTCAGAGGCATTTAAGATTGCAGTCTCCCTTTCTGCTTGTCAATTTAACATGAACCACTCTTACTGTAGAAAAATTATGCATTTAAAAAATAAAAAAAATAATGTTATGTTGTAAACAAAAGTCACATCAGTTTTCAGTTTGGAACTGAAACCCACCCCATCTGAAAGGCCGGGCTACATTAATATCCACAATAAACTTACCTTGGCAAGTGGTTAATTAGCAAAACTAAGCACAAGAATCTGGGGTGTTGATCTGCTATTGACCACATAACAGTGTGGAGGGGTGATTTCCATGGTCCTAGAATTTGAAATATTTGTTACACTAACTCCCTTAGAGTTAGGCCACTGGTACCATAATGACAGCCCATTAGTCTACATTACATGAAACAAAGTTTCTATATATAATGATCCATAAGGAACAGCTCTGCCTCTCTGTGGCTTATAAACTTGTTTATGGAAGGTGGTTTAATCTCAGGAGGCACTGCTGATCTTGGTCGAGAGTTAAGACTGGTTGAATACTCATGTATGACAGAACTCAATAAAGTTACACTGGGCAAATAAAAATTAATTAGTTTCCTCCAAATAAAACCAGTGACTCATTGTAAAATACATTATTTGTTTATTGGACTTAATCAACGATTTTCTTAGACTTAATCATGGTCCTGGATATTTGGATTTCGACATAATAGATGATTAAGCACTGCAGAATGAACTGGGTTCCCCCCAAAAAGGTATGGGAACGTCCTCACTCCTGGTACTTGCGTATATCTGGAAATAGGGTTTGGTAGATGTATTCACATGGAGGCACAGTCATGTGGGATTAGGCTGGGTCCTATCTCAAAGACTAATAAGAAGAGGAGAATTTGGAAAGAGAGACAGAGACACAGGAGGCAGAAGGACATGCAGTGACACAGGTGGAGAAGGAAAGTATGTGGTTACCAGCTTACGATGCCAAGGGTTTCTGGAAACCTCTAGAAACAAGGCAGAGTCAATGGGTACTTCCCCAAAGCCTCAGAGAAGGTGGATCTGCTGTCACCTTGCCTTTAACCTCCATGACAGAGAGAGAAGAAATCTGTTGTCCAGGGCACCTTGTGTATCAGCTGTGGGAAATGAGTATGCTAGGCACTGTGAAAACTGGACGAAAGCCCATAGCAGACTAGGTATCCCAGAGCTCAGGATGGTTGCCACAGAGAAAAAGCTTTTGCCTTTGATCTCACACAATTGTGGTGAAACTGAGAATGCAGATTCAATGGACCCTCCATAAATAGCAATGCCTAAGAAATCTGTGTGCATGCTGATGGAGAAAGCGAGGAATTTTTAGTCTTGGCTACAAGGCAAAGCCACATGTGTGAGTGAAGGTCAGTGCAGAAGTGCACCGAGTGTCCTGCTTGTTCGGGTCACAGATTCTCAGTCTAGGATCTCAGTTTCCAGCCCACCTCCATCCCAAGAGCTCCAAAGAATTTGCTACTGATAGGATACAGGTGAGCAACATCTCCACTCCTGTGATTTGAGAGCTACAAGGCAGAAGAGAAACGGCAACAATAAAACAAGTTGAGAGGCAAGCTTTTTTTTTTTGGGGGGGGGGGTCATGTGAGCTATTTCACCAGTCAGCAGGAAGAAAACAGGACTCAATCACGCAAACTCTTCATAGTTAGGCTGAGAATTCCAAAGTACAGCTCCTGGCTGTTGGTTCACATGAAGCATTGGCTTCTACAGAACGAAATGAAAGCCAAGTGGGTTCTCCAGGTCATTCACCACTCCAGCCACCTCCCTGAGTGTTGCTGGGCATCTGTGAGACATCCCTGACAAAATGTAGCATGTAGCTGGGTTTTTAAGAGGGTTGGTTACCATGTTAGACTCAGTGAAACATGGACACATTGTGCAAGAAAATGCTCCTAACCGGGAAGGCTGCATTTACTAGTACCAGGCAGGGATGCAGGGACGCCGGGACACCTTATGTTTCATTCAGAGTGGACTCGGTCAGCTGGTCAACACATTTGTGTGCCTAACATGATTTGTGGCTAGGGGTGTCAAAGCTGAGGATATCATGTTCACAGCATCCATCCATTACCAGCTGAGGGTCAAGCACACATCACAGGTCTAACAGGCGATCCTAGTGCTCAGAGAACAAAATATGTTGAACACTCAGGACTCCACCGAGCGTGAATGTGAACATCATCTTTGATGTGACCTAAAATTTCTGTAAAAATAAAGTTCCCATTCTTTTAATAAAAAATAAATATCAGCCCAATACATATTTTTATAGAATTCAAAAGCCAGATAAATTTGTGTTAGCCCACTGGTGATATGCTGTTTTCTGATGCTTACGAATAGTGTTCACTGGTTCAAAGTTCGTTGAGCTTTGCCGCGGGTCAGATAGGGATACTGATCGCCATGTATGAACATGGTACACTTTAACAAGGTATTGTAGCTTGTCAAGGTGACATTTCCTGGCAGGAATATAGGAAAAGATCCAGATGGGCCCTGCTCACTGTCAGATGCCGAAGGTGGACAGTTGTCCCAACAACAACCCAAACCTCAAATTCGAGAAAACCTAAACCTGAGAATCCTCACTGAGAATGCAAATAACGTAAGCACTGATGAACCTGCCTCTGAAGAGAAAACAAAAACAAAACCTGTCCGTGCACAAGGGAAAAGCAATTATTGCCTATTTTTGAAATTTTAAATAAGATATTGAGCATGTGTTTGGCTAGTGGTTAAGTTGTTGGTTAAAACACCCACATCTCATACTGGAGTGACTGGGTTTAATCCCCAGTTCTGGCTTCTGAATGTCACTTTCTGTGATGGTTCAAGTAGCTTGGCCCCTGACACCCATGTGGGAGACTCGGATGAATTCCTGGCTTCCAGTTCAACTCAGCCATTGTAGGCATTTGAGAAGTGAAACAGTCCTTTTGCCTGTCTGTCTATCCTCCCTCCCTCTCTCTTGCTTTCTCTCTCACTCACTTGCTCTCTCAAATAGATAAAAATAAAGTTTGATCTCAGTTTTCCTTGTATTTTTTAAAAGTAACCTATAGACAACCTCAAATTTTCATTCTTTAAATGTGCTTAGACATTCGCCTGTGCTGTGAGGGATTCAACCTCTTAGCCAGGAATGTCATGTGATCCCAACCAGCTTTTCCTGGAGGTGAATGAAACACTTGAAATAATTTCAGAGCGTATGAAACACTCACTGGCACCTAATTGGGATTCAGGTCTGTGTTTACTTGAAGCTGGTGTCTCAAGTTAGGAAGAAAAAGGAAGTGTGTAAGTGCATGTGTGTGTCTACATATTCATGGATGGAGCTGAAAAAAAAAGTGGAGGTACTGGTCAGAGAAGAACACAGTAGAATCTACAAACCAAAAAGAGGAAAAGCAGAAAATAAATTCTCATACAAACTTAGAGGGTGAAAAAAAGAGAAACATTAAATCACTGTTCCAAAGAAAAACTCAGTGGCGTGAATAGAAGGAAGAAATTTGGTGGTTGCCACGTTTTATTGGCCCTAACAATCATACTTTGCAATTTCAGGCTGCTTTCTAAATGCCAGCATTTGCCAAAGCACAAACTTTTCTGTGGCTTTGGACACTTAAACATTCCGATTAGGAGTTTACAATGTTGGTACAAAGGGATTTCCTATATGCTAAAGTTAGTTAATAATTGATATTATAAAATAGGCATTCTTTAACTTAGTCCCCACAAAACGTATCATCCTCATTTTCTGGGAAGCCCTGCCTGACTGCGGATGGTTCATCTGACCAGGAGCGATGCACAGCTCTGCACAGGATGCCGAGGAAATGCTCCCGGCAGAAACGAACAGGTGTAAGCAGCAGGATCCCAAGGATGGCAGCCGGCAAGCGAGAGATGCCAGAGAGGAACAAGGAGAGAAACTCCCTGGCTCTGTGGACTGAAATACAAAGCACAGAAAACCGGTGGCCTAAAGGTTAGGAGACAGTTTTCCACTGTTCTGAGAGACTTTTTCTGTTTCTATTTTTTTAGAGTGCTTAGATTGACAAATGGAGGTACAACTCCATTCAAAAACTCTGTCTTTATAACCTACATGAAGGCAAAAACTGGTAGAATAGCAAGAAGTGCAAGGTACTAACTGAAAAATAGGTATGAAGATTTTTATCTTAAGCATTTGTTTAAACTTGCTTGCCTATCTGAGGCAGATCTGAGCATTAACTGCAGGAAATTTTTAAACAAAATTAAAATAGGACCTAGGTTTGGAATCCCCTGTGTCACACTCAGGAGAATGGTGTGTGCACATCCAAGAGAACCTAATGAAGAATTCCTGAGAGCCTGCACTGCAGCCAGAGCTCTCTGGGTGATCAGGAAATAAAATGTGGGTTGTGGAGCTGGAGCAGTACGCAGTCCGACCAAGTCCACAAGGAAAGTGTGAAGACGCCAAACCAATGGAGGGCATTTCATTTCAGTCTTTCCTCTCAGTGTGGAAGGAAAGAAAAAACCTCTGAAAACAAAGCAAACCAAAGTACTTGTATCAAGGAAGATAAGGGACTTAACCTTATCCCTTAGATACAGATGAGAGTTAAGACATATGCATTCAAGGAAGAGGGGTTAGCAAAATAAGAGGCAGTGGATAGCTTTCCCACGGGGCTAACAGGTGCACAAAGCCACAGTACTATTAAATTAGCATCCTGTGCTTAGGTCTTGGTCTGATTTGTGAGAAGTTAAAAACCAAACTGAAGTTGGGGAGACTTTGAGGGCTGCATTTATTATCACAGAGCTATTATGGGTTGCTGAAGAAGGCATATGATAACAAACTAGTATTTTCAGAAGAGGGTTCTGGAGGTGGAACGCAGCCTGTATCATAGGAAAAGTACCTTCTGTTAGGGAGGTAAGCCAAGAGATTCCGACTCCACTCTAGCCAAGGGGTGCTAAGAGCTTGCACGAGGCTGTGAATGTGGAGGAAAAACTCAGATGGGAGAGAGGTATTTCAGGGAGGGAATGTCAAGGCTTAGTAGTAGGTGACACATGAGATGAAGGTGCAAGGCAAGGGAAGGGAAATTCACTTCTATTTCCAGTGGCTGGAAGAAGGATGGCCCTGTGTCTGACGAGACAGCTGAAGTTGTTGCTGTTTATGACTATAAATCAAATCTGTGAGTCTCAATCAATCAGCCTGACTTAGGGTTTTGTGGGATTCTGGGCACATGATTCTAGATGTTTCCAGGACGTGTAGGTATTATTCCACATGTTCCATGACCCTAGATCCTTCCAGAGGTAAGACAGAAATTGCAAGACTATGCACAGTGCACCTTGTGGGCATTAGGAGCTGGTTTTGTGAACCTACATGGTACTTCACCTGATTGTCACTATACAATTTTTTAATGGGACTTTATTTATTTGAAAGGCAGAGTGACGGAGAGGAAGGAGAGGGGGGAGAGAGAGGGAGAGGGAGAGAGGGAGAGAGGGAGAGAGGGAGAGAGGGAGAGAGGGAGAGAGGGAGAGAGGGAGAGAGAGAGAGAGAGAGATCTTCTGTCTGCTTGTTCATTCCCCAAATGGCCACAACAGCCAGCTCTGAGTCAGGTTGAAACCAGGAACCAGGAACTCCATCTGTGTCTCGCATGTGAGTGACAGGGGCTTCAACTGCTTGGGTCATCATCTGCTGCTCTCCCAGGTGCATGAGCAGGGAGTTGGGCAGAAGCACAGCCGCTAGCAGGTGCTCTCATATGGGAATGCTCGTATCCCAAACAGCAGCTTAACCCACTGTGCCACAATGCCAGCCCCACTGAGGAATTCTTGCCTGTTTCTGAAATTTTAAGTAAAACACTGAGTGGGGGGTTGGCCAGTGGTTAAGCTGTTGGTTAACACACCTGTATCCCATATTGCAATCCACAGATCAGGCTTCTGATTCTAGCTTTTTGCTAATGCACACCCTTGGGAGGCAGCAGTCATGGCTCAAGTAGTTATGTCCCTGTTTCTTACTGAGAACTTAACTATGTGTGAAGTCCTATGCTTTTCTCCCATTTAATCCTTGCAACAATCCTATAGCATGAGCACCATTAACTCTGGCCAACAGACTGGCCAAAAGTAATTAGATCCATGGCCCAAAATGACACAACCATTATGTGACAGAGACCATGTTAACATTCTGATTGATCTGACTTAGAATAATCAAGCCACTGCCAAAAGTCCTATATAAATGGGAGTAATGACATTTGGAAAAACCCTGAAGTGAAGCCATGCTTCATACAGTTTCTGTGCAATTGAAGGCTCACAGAATCCACTCCCAAAGGCCTCCCTCCTGCTCCCATCTCACAGCCTGCTCATCCTTCTCATGACTTCTGCTAGCTCTTTGTCAGATGAGTGACACTCTGGAGACTAGAAAGACAGATCGAAACAGGTTCTGCTGTTGAGAGACAATCACTACATAGTCTTTAACCAAGAGCACATCAGTTGATATTAGCATTATCATACAATGGCCTAAGAGAAAAACATGCAGTAATCCTAAATAAAGATATTGGGTTCATGTGTTCTGTTTAGCCTAGGCTAAATACAATCAATAAATTAATACACATGTCCCTACAGTTGCTTAAAATTAAAAATCTAAAATTATACAGTGGCTGAAGGCGTTTCAGAGAGGCAGTACATTTTTTTTTTCTGGGGATGACATATTTCTATTAATTGTGCAAGTCTTGTTTCAAAAACTAAAGGCTCATGGGACATCTGTGAACAATGCTGAGCTTGGCCAAATGCCTTAGGGATCGGGGGCTGAGGAAGAGGCAGACCTGATTCCCGTTTTGTTTTGCTATGTTTTTCTCCGACTCTGCATTAACTCCCTCAGAGCTCCCCAGTTAGCTGGGTTTCTTGAGTGGAACTTGAGATTTTTTTCCTAGTTTATTTTTCATTCCAGGGTTTTAAGATATTTCCAGTTTATGCCATGTTCTGTTATGGTGTCAAGTGAAGTCATCCTCAGGTACTCATTGATCTTGAGTATGGGAATAAACTGTTAGGGACTCATTGCTTTAATGGATGGGAAAATAAACTCTAGATTTTTATGTGTTTTATGAAGGGTGACCCCTCTTTCTTGTCAAAGAAGGCACCTTATTCCTTGGAAGGCAAGAGTCAGGATCAAACCAAAGAAACACGTGCAGCTGTTAAGAGGCAGGGCTAGTTGTAGGATTTGGAGTTACTGATAAGAGGACCCATTAAAACCAAAGAAACAGAGTTAGGAAACTAAATGGAATATATAGCAGGGAAAGAAAGGACTTTCAAGATGCCTTGATGATCAGGAAGAGAGTAGTAACCACAGGAAGTTGTAAAGACAGTGGCCCCCACAGAATGGAGGGTAGGAGGTAGGCTTCATAGAGAATCAATGGGGGAAGGAGCGAAATAAACAATAGGAAAATTCTGGAAGTTCTACATGCTATCTCATTGGGAGAGGCAGCAAGACAGGTTTTTTGAGTGTTCAAGCTGATTACCCCTTTAAAATCACTGATTTTGTTTAAAAATAAAAGAGAAATAAATTGGTAACAGTAAACCTAAGACATTATATGTGAAATTTATAAAGAATGTGCCAATAATTAGAAACACAAATAATGCATAAATGCTGATATTCTCTAGTTTCAGTTTATGTTAAGGCTAAAAGCATACCTAGCAACAGATGCATTGTGTGGGTAAAATATAAGAAACAAGTTCCTAAGGATGTGAAACAAAAGCTATGAATTTTTGTAGTTAAATTAAAAAAACCTCTACATTTTAAAGATGCATAAGTGCTTCAAAACTGAAAAACAAGATGAAATAGCTTTATTCTTGTTGAACGCTGAGAATTCTTTTTTGAGTAATTCGTGTGTGCAATTTAAATCAGTTAGACATTTTATTATTTTATATATATTATACTATAACAAACACTTCAAAAATAAAATAGTCCTTTATAATTGAGAACATTTCAAGTGTAATTGAGCAGTAGTTGAAAACAACTGAAAAACTTGTGCTCATTTAAGAGAAAGTACTTATTGTATTTTTAAATGTAAGTCAAGGTTTGATTTTCCATTATTCTATGTGAATGTGTGCTTGAGAAAATGGTTTAACTGGTGTTTGGGGTGTTGGGTGTTGGTAGAGGGTGCTGCATTTGCTTAACTGCCCATTACTGTTTATTCAGACCAAGGCAAGCACATTATCCCAGTAACAGAAGTACTCAAACACTGTGCTAGGAAAACAAAAAAGTCCAGTCCCACAAAGGCTTTTGTGCTACATTTACAAAACAACTGGTTTCAATGACGTGTGTTCTAATGAATCTGCAGACATCCAACACAAAACACTTGCAAATAACAGCTGAGTCTGAAAGTTACTTCAAGCCACTTTTGACAATCGTCCAAACCAATGGGTCCCAAAGTCTCCCAAGACAAATTTACCTCTTCCTTCTTAACTGCCAACACTATTGGCAACTAGCATTTCTATGTATACCTCTTGTCCTCCCATCTGTGATGTACCCGAAGGAACAAAGCAACAATACATCGGGAAGTGAGGAAATGATGGCTTCTCAGAAGTTCCAATTGTCTATAACATAAACTCATTTGCATTTCTACCTAACCATGTGGTCAAGGGCAATTTGCTTAACTGTTTTTGACCCTAGTGGCTTCACAATGCAACTAAATATTTGGACCACATTTCTCATACGTCTTCTAAGCCCATAGATCTTGTGAATAAATCAATTTACAATATTTAAGACAGAAGACTCTCACAGAAGACTATTTACAAATTTCACATATTCACAGAAGAATATTCACACTATTGAAGACAAAAGAATCTCAAGATAGGGATGAAGGGTAGAAGGAAAGCTGAGGTCCACCCAATCAGTATCCTATTTTCAGTGCCATCCCCCTGCTGTGGCCTCTATTAGCTGCCTGGTACCTCCAGAGTCCCAAGGAACCCAGTCTGAGAACTGTGTGACAATGGCATCTCAGATTGTCATCAGCCCTGAGAGTGTGGATCCTATGAGGACCAATGTGACTGTGATTCTTGGAAGCCAGATGAACCAAGACGCTTCTATATTTGTTCTGCCTTATTCTAAGGTTCAGGAAGCTCTTTCGAGCAGGGCCCGCAGCGATATGGGAGACACAGCATTCAAGATGATGCACTGTGGGATTTATTTCCGTTGCTACTCACGGTGATCTGACACCACACACAATGCAGCCCCGTCAGCCCCTGGTAGCATTTGACCGTTTTGTGGCATTTATCGCATTTGGTTGGGCAGTTGCCTTCCACCCAGTAATGGTGCATGACCTAGAAGAGAAACACAGCATGGCGTCAGCAGGAGGTTCCCACCATGGCCACCCTGGGGAAAAGGGCACACCTCCAAACTCACGTCCGTGTTCTTTTTGGATTTCACGTAAGTCTTGATGCAGGAGGGCGGGGCTCGAGCCACACAGCGCTCGTGGACTGTGTACTTGCAGACTGAAAGGAAACAGGTACACAAACTCAGAGCTAATCCGGGTCCTGATTGCAATTTTATGAGAAAAAAATGACATTAACAGAACCTCATTTCATATCCACTGCTCCCTAATCAATCCAATCAGCCACATCAAGGGAAAGTCCAAGCCGACTGTTTCTAGCATGGAATACAAAAGGCCAATTAGTACAGGAAATATTAAGCATGTGAAAAACCAAGACTCCTCCATCATGGCATAGCAGGAAATGCTTAATTAAATCAGTCCTCACTCAGATTTTTCACAATAATTCCCAGATGACAAAAATATTAAAGACAAATTGATGACTGCCAAATGGCTTGGTGTCATTTGCTAGAGAGAGGAGATCTATATTTCATAAAGTATAGGCATGAGCGCAGCTGGTGGGTATGGGAATAGATGCTCACGAGTTTATGTTATTTTGTCTATTGATTTATCTGAACCCTAAATGGCTGATTGAGTCTGCTTGTAGGGGACTAGATTTCCTCATACATGTCAGGTTGTCAACAGAAGCTCACCCTTCTGTTTCTGTCACGACATTGTCCAGCAGGTTTAGCCAGGCAGCACATAGCAACATTAAGTTTACGAGCAAATATGTACATAGACATACATATAAACATGTACGTATGCATATGGAATCCAAAATGGAAAATGGAATTAACGTGAGTTTATTTTGGCACAAAAATTTTAATATTCATACACATGTTTTTTCCTTTTTTAAAAATGTTATTTAAGGTATACACATTTCATATATACAGATTTAGGAACATGGTGACATTTTAATGATCCCTTTGTATACACAGATTTCAATTTGTTGTCTAAAAACACACATCTATCATATGTGTCATAAAATCAAGACTGATTTATTTGGCATTTTCAGATTTTCACATTTCAAGTCAGAATATAATCTTAAAGCTGTTTCTTTAAAAAATAAAATACTAGTTCAGAATGTATAAATTATGAGTAAAATGTAAATAAATCCAGCCATGTAGCCCTTTCAATGAAAACGTAACTACTGCTTGAGAGTATACTGAAAGGATTAAGTCTACCTAACATTTTTAGACTAAAAGTCTTCCAAAATTTATTCAGATCTGTGATGTCCTCCAGCAACACTGAGGAAGAAAACATATTATTTTGTCTTTTCCACAATTAGCTATAATGTTGAATATTACCTTCACCACTCTAATTAGTAATAACTTGCTAGCAAAATTCCCACTTTTTATATAACATCACTTAGTTTAGACTTATACTGTTTCATGAGCTACTATTAATACACTCTGCTGTGAAATATTTCTTCCCTTAAAAGTAATAGAACATTAAAAATCCCCACATTTTCTTTGTATATGCAGAATGTTCTAGAATAACTAACTTTTCCTCTATGGCCATGGGAAACCGTTCTCTGATATGACATAGCACATTTCATTAAAAGCCTTCAACACCTGATAAACCATGTGCCTATATGCAGCTAAAACATGGGCTTCAAAGTCAACTATTACATCTGAAGGTAAGTAACTTTCCAAATGTACTATAAAAGGTTAAAAAAAAAAAAGAAAACTATGTATTGTGCAGAAGTCAGGTAAACAAAACAGATTTAATTAAATACATAAAATTGGGGTGGGTTTAGTAACCTCAACAGTTTCAGTAACTCCATAGGCAGCAGTGAGTGCAGATAAATTCATGGTTGTACTACTGGGAACCTTAAACTTAAGCAAAAGGGGATACAATATCTACCCTCCTACAGGTGAACATCAAGGAATATAAATTTTTCTCATGATGGTAAACTGCAGATTCAAAATACTCAGATGATTTTATGAAGGCACCATCAGTTACACTAGTAGAAAATTCTAATTGGCAATGCTGATCTCATAGAATAAAACAAAAGTTGCAAAGATAAGTGAACTAAAATAGTCAAAATGACCATGTCTCAAGAACTGGCCATGCGTTGGATTCTAAAATCCGTTAACAGCATCTGAAGATTTTCCATGTAGCAGCACTAAAAACAACGTGCTAGAGACATAAAATTGGTTCATATTCCCTGTGACTTCTTAATTTGAAGGCAAATCTATTTTTAACCGATTAGTGCAATTAAAATAAATTCGGAGGAACTGACTCATTATAAGACCTCCATGTGAATAAAGCGGCTAAAGTAGGAAAAAATGAAGAAATATAAAGATATAAATATGTGAAGTCAGGGGGTAATTTTTGAAACCATCCCAGAAAAAAAGGTAAATCAGGAACAAACCACAAGGGGAAAATAATGGCCAAGAATTGGAAGGGATGCTTCATTCCTTCCCCAGGAAAGGATTACTGTAGCTCAACCATCAGGAACGCCAGGGAAACACACGTCACACGTGTATCTGAGGCCTCCTCCACATTCCAGCAAGAGCTGAGTGGGCAACGAGCCTCGCCTGGCCCAGAGCGTGGACAGCCGGGAGAGCGAAGGTACTCACAGGAGCAGGAGAGGCCCTGCTTCCCCACGCCAATCAGCATGTTCAGGCAGAGGTTGCAGTAGGCGGGCTTGTTGAAGTGCTTCAGTCGCCACACATGCTGTCCATCGTCCTTCACGTTCTGCACGGGGCATAAGAGAAACAGATTTCACGTCACGAAATAAACAGTGCAATATCTACGTGCCAATAAGACGCAGGGCTGGACTGACGGCAGCTGAAGACAATCTGTTATTTCAGCTCTGACTTTCTCCAAGATCGCCACAGAGTCTTTAGAAAAACACACGTGCGCTGGTGCAAGGGGATGCTGCTGACAAACCTCGGTGCTATAGCAACCCAGCGATTCTTGCATAATGTCAACAGTTCAACAGTATATCCCAGCCAGCACCAGGGCCTGCGGAACAAGCACGCTGCATGGGATACTTCGTCTTCTGTTGGGAAACTGTTCCAAGGGTTTCATCTGGGTATTCCTTTTTGAATTATCATTAATATTAATATATTCTTGTATGGCTGAAGTAGTGCAATGTAAGATCTACACTTTGTGTGTGTGTGTGCTTACTTTGGGAGAGAGAGAGAGAGATACAACCCATGGCAACCAAGAGGCTGGAGCTGGGAGCTGGGAACAGGATAGCAGGAACTCCATCATTACTTGAGCCATCATTGTTGCCTTGCAAAGTCTTCATGAGCAAGAAACTGGAGTCAGGAGAGGTGCTGGCATTGACCCCAGGAACGCTGATATGAGCATCCTAACCAGCTCCCTCACAGCAGGCCAAGCACCTGTCCCAAAAGCTAAATAGTTTTAAGGAACTGAATTATATTTGCCGTTTTATCACTCCTTTGTAAAGCAGGAATGATATTAATATTGGAGAAAGGTGATAAAATATTAAAATTGTATTACTATACTCAGTTCTCACAATCACCACAGCTATTTGCCATATCAGATACTTGAGTTCTGATTAAATTCACGCTGTAGCCAAAATACTACAATTATCATTTATTATTCTAAGACTTTGTATAAGACTGTAAGAGCTCCTGCTCTGATGGTTATTTAACCACATCTGTGGTGTCCAAGATTGAAACATAATGAAGTAATACTTACAAAACTACTTAAATTTTTTACAAGGAAGTGAAAATATTAAATGAAGTAAGTATATTTCATTACCTTTATTAATATCAGTTTGTCCACTAATATTTATTCTCTGTATTTTACTTACTAAACCACACAAAACTCAAACACACTTATGACATCATTTATGGGTATTCTATTAAAACTATTATAGATAATAATTTTCAGGTTAGCTAAATAATAACATTTCTTAGAATACATTCACCTAAAAATTTTTGAGCACTCACTATTGTGGGGAGCAACTGGGAGCAACTTGGACTAGACTAAGTTACTGGAATTAAGACTTATTCTATGCATCTGCTCTCCCACAATATGGCGCTGAGAAGGGAAACAGCTTCTACACAGCTGCCTCCAGTTCAACCAATAAACTGTGGGACCTGCTCCTGATTGGAGGAGAGCAGCATGCTCGGCGTGTGGGTAGCAGAGTTGGGATTGGTGGAAGAGGACTATAAAGGAGGAGAGAGACAACATGCACCAGGGAACATCTAAGGGGAACATCTGAAGGAACACCTGTGCAGCCCCCGAGAGAGCCGGCCGGTGGTGTGCTGCTCCCCCGCGGAAGTGGGGAATGTGGCAGGGGGAACCGCCCTTCCACGGAGGTGGAGGGACGGCAGCCAACCCGGGAAGAACCAGCAGCAAACCCGGGGAGGGCCGAGCAGACAAAAGAACAGCGCAGGGTTCAGTGTCGTTCCTCCATGAAGAGGGGGAGCGACAACTATGTGCTGGGAACTAATCCTAATTACGTAGCCATGGGACAAGATTATCATGTCCAGGTCTTCTTTTTTTCTCTTGATACTAAAATATTAACAGTTATTATTCTATTCCCAGTCAAAAGATGAGCCACGGGATTTGAAATACTAGAGAAAATCTAGATTAACCAATTCTTACATTAGAACAAGAAATGTCAAACTTGCAGAATGAAAATGCTTCCCAGGAGATAATTTTCTGTAGGTCTCATGAATTTCGGCAGGTTTTGTTAACAGGGGCACTGTCTTTTGGGCCTGGCTCTGTTTTTCAAAGATAATCTGAGTAACAAAGCCTTGCACTACCATGATGGGTCTCTCTCCAGCAAAGAGGGAGGACTCACTAACTCCCCAGTTTAACACTGATAATCTGTCCCTTCCCAGCAAAGGCTAAGCAGGCATGTTTTCTGCACGCTGTAACAGATTTAATTTCCCTAGCCAGAGATTCTGAGTTCTGATGCTGTGCTTGGGTTACATCTCATTGTCCCCATGAGACTTGGAGGCAACTGGCTCAGTCATGAAGCTTCTGCTGTTTCCTTTGCTGTGAGTAATGGAAGTCCACTGTGTCTGACCCAGGAGCCTCACATCTCTCCAGCATCTTTGGGAGGGTGGGAAGCTAGCACCTGAACTTGCAAGCAGGGTTACGTCTTAGACCCTCGTGGCAGTGATCCTGACCCCGGTCCCTTGCCAACAAAAGCAGCTCTGGAAAAGGCACCCTGCAGAGAACCTCATGCAATACGTGCTTCCATTTTCTTCCAAAACATAATACATTGGTTCTGCAAGATAATTTACGAATCCAGTTCTTGTGTGGGTGAATCTTGTATGGGTGTCTGGTAGCTTCACACTATGGATAGGATATTTTATATGTTCAACTTTCCTCTATATGCCAAGCAACCTATATTGTAAAATTTCTGTTTCTTCAAATACAACAAAAACTTAAGCTGAAAGGCTGAAATGTGCAGTTGTTTTTTTAAAGAAACAAATTAATAGACTTAAAAAGAAGCAGTTACATGCTTAAAGATATGTTTAAATAAAAGGGTAAAGGGAAAAATATAATTTTCCTATGTATTACTGTGCCTATGGGCTGTCTTTTTATTTTTAAATGACTGTCCATTATGTGTGAATAAGCTTCATTTCGTTGAAGAGCACATATGGACTAAGTTAGCTGGCATTTTCCTTATCAAAAAATAAACAAGTCTGAACGTGGGTGTTCTGTCAATCAGAACACTTAGCCATGTTACAGGCCACAATGGATGTACAAATCCATTACCCAGGCATGAAATGCTTTACCAAAAAACAAATTAAATAGCTTTATAGCTCTTAGTTGGATACACTGCCAAAATATGCACGGGATGAAATATGGATGTGACTTCTTCAAGGGAAGAAATTGAAACCAGGAGCCAACGACTTCTCAGCAGTGCAAATTAGACCCCAGTTCTGTGTTTTCATGTCTTGTCTTGTTTGTCTTATTTAGATTTCTAAACTTAAGAGGGGGCTGGGGAAGCCTTCTCTGTCAGCCAAGGAACATGGTACTTCCATTGCAAATAAAAAATATTTATTGCCAAGAGAGGAATGCATTTTTTATAAAAAGGAAAATGAACAAGGAATCCAGATAGTTTGATACCTAGTCCACTATGAAAATGTGAACGAGCTATTTCACCTTTCTTCTTATCTTCCTGTCTAATAAAATGATCCATGGTGTGATGTTTCATCATATAATACCTGTGAAGTTAATTTAGCTCCTTGGGAGACTGGTGTTCCAAAAACAGCAAATATTGTCACCATTACTGGGTTTAGTTATGGACCATCCCCATGTCTCTGCCATGGGAACTGAGATGCCTACTTGCAGATTCACTGCACTGCATTGCATAAAATGTTTGCTCACTTCTTTTCGCTACTGCGTATAACACTGCATATTATAATGAAGCAGATAAGTTGTGTGCTGATGACAGAGAAAAGCTCAATGCTCCCTAGGCTAGTCTGTACTGGGAAAAAGCACTACATTATTCCATGTCTCTTAATTTCCCAGAAACCAGAGGCATGTTTCAATGGGAAGGCACTTTATGACTTCAACAAGTGCTTTTCACTATATTGGTGAATTCCAAAGTTGAAGGGTTTCCTTAAGTACTTCCAAAGTTCCATATAATGGCCAAGTGAGTTGGGGTGAGTATCAATAACACCTTTTTTTCAGAAGATCTCATCTGAAGGTAAAATTCCACTGCCATTCCAACTCCTGTCTCCATATCTGGCTTTGTTCCTTAGCTTATCACATAGAAGAGCTATTGGTGTAAATTCCTTGCAACTCACTAAATAATAAGGGGCCTCAAGTTCACTTTTTTGTTCAGGTTTCCAAAAAAAAAGTATAACAATAAGAAAGAAACTCTGTTTTTGGATAAAGCAATGGGTTGCTAGTTCCAGGCAAAGACAATACAAAGACTTAAAATTCTAAATGGAGTTGCCATCGACTGCCCATATCACAAACACATATTCTTAGGCTATCCTGGGTTCCTCTTGTCCCTGATGCTTAAATGCAGATCAGCAGCTCTAACGCTGTAGTCATTTTTCTGGAACCATCTAATCTGATTCTAAAGAATCCTTGTATTTATTTAGTCTGACAGCCCTTTTCTAGTGTGAGAAGTGTGTAGACAGTAGAACAAAACTCTTAACCAAACTGAAATTTTAAAAATTGGAGGATGAAATATCAGCTTTCCACATATAATTTAGTCCATGAAAAATAAAACACCTTCTACTTGCCATGGCTCAGAGATTTCACCAGAGAACATCTCTCATTGTGCTTTGTTGATTCAGGTACACACATACATTCCAAATCTCAATCAAAAGCAACACTTAAATTATAGACAGGGAAAAGAGCAGGATTCTTGGAGCACTTCTATAAGAGTGAAATACAAATTCATTAAAAAACCATTGAGGTTAGACATGACCACTCCAAGCCACAACGAAGTTAAGGTACCCTCACTTGCAACGTATATGCTTATATGTTCAATAGATTTCATGAAAATATGAATGAAGGAAATTTACTATAAATTTTCTAATCATGATCCAAGGTCATAGATCTCAGGACTCAAAGTGTTTTTTTTTGTTTGTTTGTTTGTTCATCTAGGACAAGAAATGCTTGATGGGAAAGAGCACTAGAACTGACATTTTTCCAGAAAGAGCAAGGGCTTGGCGCTAAATGACAGAGCTGAGCTGAGGTAGAACAGATTGGATGAGTTCTCTGCTCCCTGCTCTCTCCTTCCTGTCTCATCCTGTCCTCTTGTCTTGCCTGGGTGCTCTGCTTGCACTTAGTAAAAGGGAATTAGCTTCTCTTCTGCTGAACGATTATTAAAACTCAATGAGGCCGGTGCTGCGGCTCACTAGGCTAATCCTCCACCTTGCGGCGCTGGCACTCCGGGTTCTAGTCCTGGTTGGGGCGCCGGATTCTGTCCCGGTTGTCCCTCTTCCAGGCCTGCTCTCTGCTGTGGCCAGGGAGTGCAGTGGAGGATGGCCCAAGTGCTTGGGCCCTGCACCCCATGGGAGACCAGGAGGAAGCACCTGGCTCCTGCCTTTGGATCAGCGCGATGTGCCGGCCGCAGCACGCCAGCCGTGGCGGCCATTGGAGGGTGAACCAATGGCAAAAGGAAGACCTTTCTCTCTGTCTCTCTCTCTCTCACTGTCCACTCCGCCTGTCAAAACAAACAAACAAACAAACAAACAAAACAAAAAAAACAAAACAAAAAAAAAAACAAAAACACAACAACAACAACTCAATGAAAGCTGAGTGTTTTTAGAATGACAAATCAGTATATAAAACAGACTGGCCATTGGTATTGGGCTAAATTTGGGCAGCAGCTTGTTTTTTTTTCTGAATAAAGTTTTATTGGAACTGGCTTGGCCGGTCCATTTGCATAATTTTTGGGATTGCTTTTGTGCTATACCCACAGAGTTGAGCAATGTTGACATAAACCTAAGCATTCAATATCGGGCTCTTCTTAACTGCCAATTCATGGAATACGGCCGATGATGAGGAGGTCATTTAATGATGAAAAGATCAACATTCAATGACATGCTGTATCTGACCTGTTTATTTATGAGAGAAAAGACAAGATTTATGCCCTAATTTTTGGTGAACAATAATAACCAAGTCATCATCATCTCCACTGCTGGTTTGGGCACTGAAACAGGCCCCATTTAAAATGGAGTAGCTTTGGGTGTGATGTTGACGGGGACAAATATCCGGCCATGAAACCATAGCTGTTGTGGCTGTCATGAGAAGTGAAGAGTAGTCTCCCAGGACGGCCTTGTGGATTGTGTAATCTACCTCAGGCTCCTCATTCCACTGTGGTATCTAACATGCACTATCAATTAGAATCTCTGCTCCCCGAGCTCATAACTGACAAGAGACAAGAATAGATAGGGCAGCCTAACAAGGCAGGCTCTATAATACAAGGCCAGCCCCAAGCTGCAGGTTCTTGGTTTCCAAATTAACAAGCCAAAGGCAAGGAAGAGGCAGCATAGAGCACATTCTCTGTAGGTACTAACACAGCACATGGGCTGTCCAAAGAAACGAAAGAAATCTCAATTACCAGAAACATCCCTCATCACTCAGTTATCCTGGTGCCATCCTGCTCTTCAAAAACACTCTCAATGTCTTAGCATTAAAAACTGTCCAACCCAGGGGCCCACGCTGTGGCACAGCGAGTTAAACCTCGGCCTGCAGCAACAGCATCCCATACAGTTCGAGTCTCGGCTGCTCCACTTCTGATCCATATCCCTTCAAATGTGCCTGGGAAAGCAGCGACGATGGCCCAGGTGCTTGGGTCCTGCACACACATGGGAGACCTGGAAGAAGCTCCTGGCTCCTGGCTTCAGTCTGGCTCAGTCAATGTGGCCATTTGAGGAGTGCGTTAGTGAATGGAAGACCCCCCTCCCCATCTCTTCATCTCTCTCTCTCTCTTTCTTCTTTCTTTCTGTAACTCTGCTTTTCAAATAATAAATAAATCTTAAAAAAAAAATGCTTAAAGCAAATGGAAGCTCTGGTTTTTGATCATTATTAATAATTACAGGGCTTTTATATTTTATCAAAAGACAACTCAAAATATGGTTGGCTTTTTTTTTTTCTTAAATACCTGAAAAAAAAAAAGGAAAGTCCTTTCAGATTTGCTCTAGCAGGTAAAACGCCAATCTCCTGAGTCAAGGTGCCCTCAAACGTTAAACAATGTAGCTCTGCCATCTAGTGGCAGGGAGTGGGAACACAGTCCTGATTACTGTTCTGAAATCCTGAATTGACTTGCCCTATTGAGCATCAAACAATCTCTTTTTACAAAGAACATAAAGGATAAATGTAATTCTGAAGAAAATTATGTAAAACTAACAGAGTTCACATTAAAAGCCAATATTTCCATCAACTGAAAAGGCTTATTGTCATGCTAGAAACTGTCATTTGTTTAACTTAGGGTTATAGCTATGTAAGTTTGTGAACGAAATTATCCATAGTCTTTAAAAACTCCATAAGCTAAATGTAAATTATTTATAAAATAATATCCAAAAGGAAAAACATCCCAAAATGTTTCTGTGATATTTAAAATGGAGGTGATTAAACCTCCTGCTCACCATAGTTTTCTGTATGTTGTCTCCATCTCTCATCCTCGATTTCCATAAATACTAAAAATATACAAACTTAAGCTTCAAAATATATAGCTCCCTTCTGGGACACCATTATTATTGGAACTTCTATACTAGAATAATCTGACAACCATTTGGGGACCCCAATATTCACTAACCCTTAATGTGTTAACATTTCACCCATTTTCTTTTTCCAAATTTTTTCTCTCAATACTTTTCTTTACATTATGCTTTTTTCACAAGGTATGCTGAACAATTAAACAAAAAACCTACTACCTGACTTGTCCCATCAAAGCACTGGCTACAAAGAAACATTGTTTCATTAATTTTCCAAAGTTCAGAAATATGTATTTGTGAACAATGCAATTTATATTAATTATCTTTTATTTTTCTTATAATTTTTATTTACTTTCAAGTAATTTTTATTTACTTGAAAGGTGTAGATAGAGAAGTAGAGGGAGATAGGAAGAGAAAGAGAGAGATCTTCCATTCAAATCCCCCAACAGCTTTGATGGGCCAGGCTGAAGCCAAGAGCTAGGAACTCAATCCACGTCTCCTGCATGGGTTACAGAGACCCAAGTACTTGAGCCACCAGCACCACCTCACAAGGTGCACAGTAGTGGAAGCTGAAATCAGAAGCAGAGCTAGGCCCCAAACACAGGCGCTTTGGGATGTGGGTATTGCATGTTGTGGGTTAACCACTGCTCCAAACCCTGCCCCTATTACCTTTAGTTTTAAGAAATTATTTAAGTGCAATTTCTTATACCTAGCCTATCAGTGTCTTATTATCCTTCCTCTGATCATTTCTAAGATGGCATGCACCTTATGAAGGGTAAGGGTAAACTAACTGTAAAAGAATTTGAAGATATAGGTTAAAAAGAGAAAAAAGAAAGAAAGAAAGAAATGCTGAGCTCTTGAAACCCACTTATTTATTCCTAAGCTGTAGATTTTTCTACTTTGTAAGCCCAACTGTATATTCCTAAAGCTGATTTGTGCTTCTCTTAAAGCCCCCAGATGTATTCATGCAAATCACACTTTCAGATGCACTCATGTTTACAAACACAGGCCGTGCAAATCCTTGAGAGCTGATTTTTAAATACTGAGTATGTTGAGTAATGGTGGTGTAGTCTTGAATCTCCCAGATCATCTTTGCCTGCAGCAAAAAGTATGAAAAATTGTAGGTTCAACAGCAAAGTGACGGACGCATGTTCTTGCATCTCAAAACTCTAAATATGATATACGTCATGGTGCTTTCTAGCATGGAAGCACCCCACTCACAGGCTCCGTGGTTCTCGACACACATCACAGTGGCTTTGGGCTTAACCATTAATGCTAAGTACAAAACGCTGTCCTGATTATTGACCCGATCGATTTTTAAATGAAAAATGACTGAAATTCCCTTCAAGGCTGGGTCAGCAAAATTTTGTTTCCAGGTCACTCTTACAGCACAGAGTGACCTTAGGCTGATCTGGTTCATACCCCAAATAGTATTTAATTGCTATTAGAGGTGCTGATACAAGAAAAGTTTCAACAGGCTTAGAATTGTGAGTCTGACTAGTTGCTGATACATAAAAAAATGTGCAATTTTTCAGAGAGTCTACCAACCACCTTGGATATACACTTGCCTCTTCCAAGAATTGTTTGTTAATAAATACAGTATTTTCACAGGGAGGAGGCAATGAAGGGAAAAGAGCACCACAATGAACAAAGAATGCAATTATGTAGGGTGCTTCTTGCATTACATGATGTGAGAAGACCAGTGATTTTGTTTTAATTGCACCATTTAAGTAAAGGAATTCAAAAGAGGTAAATCCTAAGTTAATACCGACACTGAATCAGTATGTCTGTGGCAAGAACTGCTTCACCAGGAGTGACTGTAAAATAGCTTCATGGCATACTGCAGGCACTCACTCCACTTTTCATGGAGGAAATGGCCAGATCCATTCCTAATCAGCAGGTGCAACTCAGAACCCCACTGTCTTGTCACCCACCCTTCCCACGAGACCCAGCTCACGTTTTCCAAGCCCAGGAGCACGAGCAGTGGGATGGTGGTCATCCCTCCTTGGATCCATTCCTCCAGGGACACGGTGCCATCGTGGTCATAGTCAATCTCCTCCATCATTTCATGAAGTATCTGGAAGGGTGGAGATGAAGACACACTTGCCGTGGATCAGTAAATAAATGCCATACAATGCAGCACCTCTGAATTGTTCGTAACAGATTGTCTGACACCTACGTGGACATTTGAGGAAAACGTCTTGGTAACTCGACCCATCACTAATCCCAGTCACCTTGATCAACTCCAAGAAGCAGGCACATAACGTTTTAATGTTTTTCCAGTGAGCACCACAGTTGACTCAAAAAAGTAACTTTAAGTGTGAAAGTGATCTTTAACTACTTTCTCAGGGCTATTCTGTTCAATTCCTATATATCCTAGAAAACATTGGAGCAAATTAACTGAATTCATTAACTTAAGCAAAGATTAAGTGCTTGTGAGAACTCCAGATACTGGAGAAGTTAAATGATCCAACTGTTATCTGATTAGATACATTTTATCTTTTGAAAAACCGAACTAGTTTTTTATTTGAAAGGCACAAAGACAAAGAGAGAGAACAAACAGAAGCAGAGACAAAAAGAGTTCCCAGCAGTTCATTCACTCCCCCAAATGCCTGAAACGGCCAGGGCTGGGCTGGGTCAGAAGCTGGGACCCAGCGAAGTAATTCAGGTCTCCTGGGTGGATGGCAGGAATTCAGTCACTTGAGCCATCAGGATTGTTCCTTAGGGTGTGCATGAGGCCGAAGCTAGGGCCAGCAGCTGGGAGCAGTGTGGCATCTCAGCACTCTGATACGGGATGCTTGTGTGTTAGTCCCTAGAGCACATGTCCACCCCCAGACTTTTTTGTAAAGATGACTCACATGTAATGTCCAGAAATGTTCCTCATGGTGCTTGTTTCTGATATGTTTACCTCTCTGTGGCATAAAGACAATACTGGCACCCCCTTCTGAGGGCTTCCGTGAGCACGACATCAGCTAATCTATGCTCAACAGAAGAACCCCTGGCATACACAGCATTGTTTTGTACTGTTTGCTGCAAGTAATGGCGACTTATACGTTTTTGGACCATATTGCTTTTGGCCACGAGGAAGGCAAATTACTTCCATCAAAAGGCACTGAGAGGGCAAACGTAGTGAGAACCCTAAAGAGCAAAGAGCCTACTGTTCTTGTATCACTTGCAAATTCTAATCAACTTGGCAGAAGAAAGAAATGCAAAGAGCATCAGAAGAAAGATCAGAAGAGGCGGAATCAATGCTGTGCTTGAAGTTTGGGGAGAAGGACTCCTGTGCTTGGTGGAAAAGCAGATTACGTCCTTTCATAGCAATAAACTGGCCTGCGGGTAGAAGGAGACATTTGGAACCAAAAAAAAAAAAAAAAGCAAGGGGGTGCAAGGGGGTGGCAGATGCTGGAATAATTATTTCATTATCCACAAAGTAAAGGATAGGAGAAATCATTTAGAATTTGGCAAAATGTGACTTAAAAAAAATGGTACATGTCCTGTCCCTTGAGACCATGCTGGTGAATAAGACAAACAAAACTGTGCATGAGTGCATTGGTTTCTGATGCTTCCCTTTTGCACCTAATAAATCTAACATCTGGGCTTAGGTGAGTTTGATACAATCTCCTTCCAAGGACATCCCAGTCTTCCCTAGGCACTGTGACTGCCCCACGTGTTTGCTTCTCTTTATTACAGACACCGAGGACTCTGGCAACGTGCACGTTTGTTTGGCGTGCTCAGAGCTGCTCGAGCATCAAGGTGCAGTGGTTGGCGCGGCAGCAAACACAGCGCTCATGGTACTACTGTGGTCTCAACCACTGCTGTTCAATCCACCAGCAGCGTGGCCGACTTCTCAGGAACACAGGTGACACGTGACGCCATCGTCCACTCCTCACGTGTCCAGCAGGTATTTGTCCTGGCCAGGCTGCCCAGCCACTGACTCTCTCGGAGCACCCAGGTTCCCCTCCTCCTCAATCTGCAGCCGTCCTTCACAGAAACCTTTTTTTCTGGAAGGTCAATTGTTTCCATATCTGCTTTGAAAGCTGATAGGGAAAAAAAAAATCGTTCTCCTTTCCTCAAACTCCAGTGAGCACAAGTGGGCTTAATGGACACATGGATCATTGTCAAAGGGAGATCACTGTCAATAGCCTTGGGGGGAAACTGAGATGAACACACCCAAACTATGCAACAAAACCCATAGACATCCCCTTGATTTCAGGGAGAATAGGAACAAGGTGAATGACATAGAAAGTTAAATGCATGCTACTATCTACTTTGGCATTGCAGATACCAACTGCAACCTGTGACTCACATCTGCCAATCACTCTATGCATCCAGCAGGTGCAATCGCATCGAGAGCAGCTGAGCTGACGCTGGGAAAATCCTCACCACTGTAAAAGCAGGGCCCTCCTTTGTAAGTGGCTTGAACTTCCCTGGCTTTAGCTTACAAAGGAAGGGAAATGTTCTCAGAGCTCCTGCAACACACAGTCCCCACAACATCATGCCTGTTGACGGCATAAACACCAACCGTGGCTAAAAATTGGTTCCTTGAATGCATATGAAATACAAGCTTTTTAACATAAAATTGGTTTGCATTTGCTTTATTCATGTCCATTTTGTAAAATATAGTTTCCATAACACAGTGAGATCAGTTGCTCTGATCAACTCTTCCCCCTAAATATTACTTGTGACCAAAGTCAAACTTTCTAATTAAATATGTTTAATAGACACTTGAATAATTTGGGAATTTTGATACAAATGTTCCTAAAATAAGAAGCTCTGAATTCTTACAAGCATTGTAAGTGTCACTTCTTTAAATAACTTGATTAAAAAACCATGTAACTAACGAGTTTGGGGCAAGTGATTTTAACATATTTGGTCTTAATTTATTCACCTGGAAAATGATGAAACTAGTGGATTTTCCTCAAAGAGTTTCTAGTGTTAACTAATGCATTCTCACAAGGTAACACAATGCACCAGGCATAGAAAACGACTGTCATCTTCTTGAAGGCATGGCTTGATTCTGGCATGCCCATCATCAGCTTTCTCTACTGATAAGTGTCACTTATCATCACTCCAAATAAGTCCCATGAAGAAGAAGGCCAGAGTTACTGCCAATAGCTTCAGAATACCTCCTGCACCTAATTATGTAGTTGAGAATACACTTTGACTTCTGATTAGAAATCAGAGAGTCATCAAAAGAAAGAGCCAAATAAGAATAATGTACATGGGTCCCAGAAAATGCAAAAATAAAAAAAAGCGAGGGGACTTCCAAAATCTAGCCAACATCAAGTCATTCCTATACCTACTGGGTTCAGTTCCGTGACGTCCCACTCGAGGTACTCGGCAACATGCATCATTTGACTGATGATGTTTTCTAGTTCCTGGGGGGCACGAGGGGAAGAGAGAGAGAGAGATGAATACAAACCGTTAGCAAGTTCTTAACACTTCAGGATTACAGGCACTGTTATGTCCAATATGGACCTCAACATCTTGGGTGAGTCATAACATCAATTCCATATCATCCCACATGTAAATATTATATATTTATATCTCACATACAAATAATATATTCTACATAATCACACATATAAAATGATATGAAAAGATGTCAAAAAGTACAAGGAAAATGGCCTTAAACATCAGTTTGGTGCAAAAAGATCTGAAATTCTTATACAGTTTTGGAAAAAAAACCACATTTTCCATGAACTTGCTGAAGGTGTCTTTTATGTATACATAACTCAAATCTTCAAGGTCTGATAAACTACAGAATGAAGAGAGCTGACTCTGCCGTTTCTGTACTTGTCCTAGAGATCATCACCACGAGAGGGCACAGCCACACCAGGAACCCTTTCCTTCCAGGAGAAGGAAGTCTTGGCGAAAGAAAGAGTGCATTGTCATGTCGGTGATTTGCTAGACTCTGATTACCCTGGGAACAGATGTGGAGGGGTGGAAGGAAGTGTGTGAGGTTTATTTTTACTCAGATACACTGAGAGTGTATATTGACTGTTCTAGTCCTTTCTTGGGACAGTTTGCTGTGATAGAAAATGTTCAGGTTCAAGGTTCAGAGGTTAAGTATATGTAGAGTTTCTTTTGTGAGAAGATAGGATTTCAGTTTGAATTTTCAAACTACTCTGCTCACTTGTCGACTCTCCGAAGAACAGTTAGCTAAATACATATGTCTTGGCGAAAAAAAATAAAATATTTTATACATAGATATTGAATGTTTTATTTTTCCTATAAGTATCTCCAGAAAAGATTAAATGCAGTTTTGTAAAATGCTTGTCATTTTAAATTTAGATGTTACATAATTTTAAAAGGGCTGTTTTACAGTGTAAGTTAAAATATAAGAAATACTGAAAGTATGCTAATCAAACATGCTTCCACTGAAAAGGCTATGTAATATACATGTAGTCATCAGTGCTCTTGGAATGGACAAGCACGTGTCATAACAGAGGTTGTCTAGGGAGGGGGCACTGATGTCTCTGAGAACTGACGAAAGCTCACTCCTTCTCTCCAAAAACGACAACCTTGAATTTTCTACTTAGGTTAAATAGGTTGCCCTGGAAATAAACGAACACAAATGCAGTTATCAGAGATGGGCAAATTCTGAAACCTGGTAGCATTGTGTATGTATGTCTGTGTATATGTGTGTACTTTGTGTGTGCATGCATGTGGTACCAATCACTCACCTACTGTGTCTGTGCCTTAATGGATTGTGAGGGTCAAGGCCCCTGGATATAATATTAAGAAAACAACCTTTTTTTGGTTGGCTGGTATCTGGGCTTGTGCCATGAGAGAAGTTATTTAAGCTCTCCCAGACTCAGTTTCTGTATCACTATTAGGAAGAATCTAATCTCCACTGGCTCACAGAGCTCCTGCAAAGATTAGACATGCTATTTTATGAATTTATCTTGCTGTAAAGAATGTTAGAAGTGATCAAGAAACATTAATTCTTATTCTTATCAAAGATAGTGGTCGTGCTTCAAATGACCTATTTTTTGCTTTGCCTCCCATAGGTGAACTGTCACAATGTAAAAGTACCACAGCAAATGGCTTCAGAAGGTACAATTTGAACCTGATATTGAAGGAAATATACAGGGCAGTAGATTGTGTGGTGAAGACTCCAGCAATTAGATTCAGACTTCTAATTACACACAAAGACTAATTTAACCACAAACAAATCTATACATTCCCAACTCATTGTTCAATATTGGGAATATGGATGTAAATATTGCAAGTAATTTACTATATATGTTAATAAAGAATGGCCAGAGACCAAAAAAAGCACTTGACTGAATTTTCAAATCAGCTGCCAACCCATGGCTAAAAGCCTAGTAAAAAAACGTCATTTTAATTTAATTAAAATGAAACATTAAAGAAAACAAACCACCATTAACATATAATTTGCATTAGTGGAGTCATAAGTGCTACAATCAGCATATTGAAATATCTAGAAGAAATAAAAGTCCCTCACGGTGTAATGGTACCAGAGAGTGAACAAATTTATCATGTGACTTCTTATTCCTTGATGGAAAACTAGACTACCAAGCACTTAAAAATAACAGCATTTGAAAAATCACTAAAACTTAAACATAAGGAATGCGAGACTTGGAGCATGAGTTCAGAGTGGTGGCCATCTCCTAGAGCAGGAACTACACGTTTTTATTTCACTCTAGCGAAGCTCACATCATTTTCTCCTATTTACTGCTACATAAATAACTCCAACCTAACTGCCTTGCTTGGAAAACCCTGTTTTAACTCTGCCATACAGAGTTCCCACAACTAAAGAGAGAAACTCACTCATTATCAGAGATAATCTTTATCTCATTTAGTGTTCATTGCATTGAAACATTTTTTTAAAAAATATACCTGTGTACTTCAAAAACGTCCAGAATCTGACACTTGTTCTTTGATTAACATTCTTATTTTTCCTTCATCGAATAGGAAAGAACAGAATACACGAACCATGTTATCACCAAAGATACACTCGATTATTGGATGGGACCTGAAATGGTCGTTCACAGCAGATTCTGATTTCTGCTCTGGAACCAAATTTGACTTCCACAACTAGGAGAGCTCTCAGGGATTCCAGCTCTTATGAGTACAAGGGACTTTATTTTCTCCTTCAGTTAACCATAAGGGATGACTTTTTTTTCCTCCATTCTATTTATAGCTAAATCTGTGCAGTATAGACTACATATAAAATTGGGATAGATAGTTTAGCAAAGGAAGTCTTTTAAAGCAATCTATAAATATATTGACCTCTTTTAACAGTGGAGATAAATTTCAAAGTGAGAAAATAATAATTAAACTGACTTTAAAATTCCTTTGAATTCTATTGATATTCCCTGTCTTTTCCTTAGTGTCAAATGTCACTGATAGTTTTTCTGTCTTTCTAGATCAATGGTCTCAAGTTCCTCTTATGTTTTATTCAGACAAGGTTGGAGTCTGCCTTTGTTACTTAAGTTCAGAGCAGGAAAAGAAAAAGTCGTGTTTTGTAGCAAAATGATTGCACAGAACAACGGTAATCTTAACAGTTTGCGAAGATCACTCTTTCAAAAAACCAAATGATAGAAACCCTGTGCAAGTGCATGCAAATTATATAAAGAGTGCCTGCAGTGGTAACAGCCATAAATTTATTCATTGCATTTTCCCAGAAGAAGCTGCTTTCAAATTTTCACAGAAAATCTGAAGAAAAAAATTACCGAACTGTCGAGGAAGCCGTTCCCATCGGTGTCATAAAGGCGAAACATAACTGAATAAAAAAAAGAGTGAAAGAAAGACGACAGGTGAGCAAGATCAAGACTGGTTTAAAACAGTCTTTAAAATTTAGCTTCTCTTGGAAACAAATACTAAATCCCCACTAAAGCAATTAATATGTGAGATAAGTTTGTAAACTAACTGAAAATGAACTTTATCAGTTAAAAAACACACTGGATATTAGATATAAAAGTCTACGAGATTGTGTTTACATCTAGGAAACACTAACAAATGCTCTGGTTCATTCAAATTCTTTATTGTAAGATCACTGAATGTCAGCTCATAAACAGCAGAAGAGAAATTGAAGCAGTCAGAGCCTAGATGTTAAAGGGAAGAGAAGATAAGGAAAAGCAAAGATTAGGAATTTTGCAAACCAAGGATAATTTGGAACACATCGTTCACTAACACATGAGCTTTGTCAAACACTTATTTTTGTCTGTGCCACAGGAATAATCATCATGCCACAAGACACACATCTGCTATGAAAGTGGGGTGGTGCACACCACATGCACATGTTGAAAACTGCACAAGAGTGGAGATTTGGCATAGCAGTTAAGACACCATGCAGGAAACCTGCATCTCACATTGGGGTGCCTGGGTTTGAGTCCTGGCTGTGACTCCTAATTCCAGCTTCCTGCTTATGAATACCCTGGAAGACAACAGTGGAGGCTCAAGTGGTTGGATCTCTGCTACTCATGTGCAAGACCTGGATTGAATTCCCAGCTCCTGGCACGGACGGGGACAGCCAAAGTCATTTCAGGCATTTGGAAAGTAGACCAGCAGATGGGAGCTTTCTCTGTCTCTGTTTCTCTCTCTCTCTCTCTCTTAAGTAAATAAAGATAAAGAAGGAAGGAAATAATAAAAAGGGAAAAGGAAGGAAGGAACGAAGGAAGAAAGGCAGGCAGGAACAAAAACCATGGATCACTCTGCAAATGTAAGCCATGGTTATGACTGGTCCCCCGGTAGTGCAGGAGAGACTGGGTGCAGAACAAGGGCTGCTTTCTCTCTGCTGGAGGATGTCGACCCATTCGATGCATTAATGGTTTATTTGTTTGAATCTAGGTGGAGCTGCCTGGGGTGACTAATCTTTGAACCCATCAAATATGGAAACAGACAGTGCTGGTTCTGTGCCAGTGAATGCAGGAAAGCACAGGACTGAAGTCCCTGGGCAGCCTGAGGTCCCCTGTGTGACTCCTTCCACTAGGACACTGTGGAAGGGGCTGCAGGTGCCACTGGAAATAAACAGGGAAGAACGATACAGCTGTGAAAACAGGGGAGCGGAAGCGGGGATTTGCGTTGCATTTGTATAATTGCCTGAAGAATCTGAAAGACTGAAATCTCACATTAATAAAGACAGTAAAAACTAGGAAGTACAATGACAGCAAGACTTTGATTATGTATCTGAGATTAACCATTATTTGTTTATTTAATGACTATTTTGCCAACTTCAACATAAAATTATTGATAAGATCTAAAATTAGTTTCTATATGGCTAAAAATATTGTCAATTTAATTATGATATTCTATCCACAGTAAGACACAAACAAAGGCTAAAATGTAAGGAACATATGTTAGATCTATTTTCAGATTTCTGAGTTATCTCCATATTATCTTCCATAATGATTGTACTAGTTCACACCCCCTATAATTAAACTTTTTTAATTAAAGGAAACAATGTTAAAGAGGCCAAAAGACTTAAATATCTCCATTTACAAACCATGTTGTTTATTTGTTCAACAAAAGAATAACATAATGAAGGGGAAAAAACTATACAATATGTATCTAGGTATTTCAAGATTTTCCAATGCAGCAGCAAAGAGTAAACAAAGTCACAAATATAAAACTTTGTTGGTGGCAAGAATTCACATACCACTCCTGGAAGGGAAGAAGTTCATGACCAAGGATGAGCAGAGGCCTCTGAGGATCCAGCCAACAGCTCAAAAGGATGGCCATCTGTGGTTTCACTAATCCTTGCTGGGGTAAATGACTAAAACAACTTACGCAGCTTGGATATATGGTACCCCTGTGCCTACTGGTAGATCCTGATGGGCACATGCGCTTCAAGAAATACAGAAGCAGGTGTGGGGTGCCCACGGCCCAGACCCCACCAAAGAAAAGCATTGCTTAGGTTATCAGTCAGGGGCCAGTGGCCCAAGGGAAAGAGGTTGCACAAAATCCATTCTGGGGATTGGAAGGGCTGCAGAAGAGACTGTGGACATCAGGGGCCTCCAGTTGGACCAGGGATTGGCACCAAAGGTGCTGTCTGTCCACAGAGAGGCAGCAATAGGTTTTCTCCCAGACTAATTTAGTTCTTAACTTGCTCAATGCTCCTGGAGAAGTAGCTTTCATACCTAGTTCTCTGCCTCACCAGAAGACTCCCTGTGATTATTTATATTGAGAAATTGATGATGACCTGACTTAAGAAAAAACAATTAAAAATATGCCTGTGGGGCCAGTGCTATGGCATAATAGATAAAGCCACCGCCTGTAGTGCCAGCATCCTATACAAGCACTGGTTCAAGTCCCAGCTGCTACACTTCTGATCCTGCTCTCTGCTATGGCCTGACAAAGTGGTAGAAGATGGCCCAAGTCCTTGGGCTCCTGTACCCACATGGGAGACTCAGAAGTTATTGGCTCCTGGCTTCAAACCAGCTCAGCTCCAGTTGTTCCGGCCATCTGGGGAGTGAACCAGCAGATGGAAGACCTCCTCTCTCTCTCTCTTTCACTGCCTCTGCCTCTCTGTAACACTGCCTTTCAAATAAATAAATAAATCCTAAAAAAAACCTGTTTCTCTGTCTTTCCTAATCATTACTGTGCACTTAAAACTGACTTTAAAATGAATTCCTTATTGCGTCCTAACACTGGACAGAAATATTCAACAAATTACCCAAGTGAACCTGTCAACATTATCATTATGGAAACCCAAGGTGAGAACATGACTAACCAGAGATCCACCCTTCTAACTCCCCGCCTTTTTTTTATTTGAAAGGCAGATCCACAGGGAGAGAAGGAGAGACAGAGAGACGGAGATCTTCCATCTGCTGGTTCACTCCTCACATGTCTGGAATAGCCAGTGCTGGGCCAGGCAGAAGCCAAGATCCAGGAGCTTCATCCAAGTCTCCTACGTGGGGGCAGAGACCCAAGGACTTGCGCCATCTTCCACTGCCTTCCCAGAGCATTAGCAGAGAGCTGGATTAGAAATGGAGCAGCCGGCACCAAACGTGATGCCCTTATGGGATGCTGGCATTGCATGCAGTGGCTCAACCTGCCATACCACAATGCCAGCCCCAGAGACCCCTTAAAGTTCCCTAATCACTTCTTCTCTCCCCTCCCCAGTGCCACCCACCACCGTGACTGCTTCATATCTTGTTTTCAATTTTAGTATCACTTAACTGAACACCACTTGTGACTGCCTGTTATTTTTGTGGGTGGTGTTAGTTCTTTCATATTCTCCTCTGCACAGTATTTCTATGTGTATAAAATCACAAAGGATTCATTCTGCTGAAGGAATTCTTAGGTTGTCTCCAGTGTGATCTTTGCAGCAATGCTTTGGCTATTTCAAAGACTACTGGCACAAACCTTGTGAATGGCTTTTACGCTAGGTGAACGTTCACCAGTTGGTTATAAACCAACATAGGCATGGATTTGCAAATGTTTACCTTTGGTAGAGACTGCCAAACAGATAGCAAAAGTGGTTTCAGCACACTGGACTTCAACAACAATCCACGGCCATTTGAGCTGCTCCACTTACTCTGCAGCACGGACCATTGCCAACTGCCTCCCATGTGACCTGGTAGAAGCCCAGGAGTGTACCACTGGGAGTGTAATATACATTCTCCTGATATCAAGTAAGATGAAGACGATTTTCATATGCTTATTGGCTAACTAAATATTCACTTTTTTGAAGTGATTATTCAATGTTCCTGCCCAATTTTCTTTAGAGTTAGTTATTATTATTTACTGATTCACCAAAGTTCCCTTTTCGGTCATATGCTACACCATACTCTTTCCCAACTCTCTGTTTTGACATTTTGTTTTGTGAATACAACCATTCTGTGAATTGAAGATCATAATTTTAATAGAAGGATTAATTCATCAATCCTTACCTTTGTGGTATAATATTCATGTTGTACAAAAAAAAAATCAGCCTTCATAAGACCTGCTTTATTTATCACCTAGATAACGTTGGAGTTAAATTTTCCTTACGGTTTGAGATGCAGATGATTTTAATTTTTTCTGTATATGTAACAGATTTTATTTTTCAAAGAGTGATTAAAAATAACAGCAGTCTCATATGTTTTTCTCCCACGTTATCTTGCCACTTCCCCCATCAGGTGGGCGTCTGTAGCCACATCTCTTCAATCAGGGTAAGTCTTCACTTGTACTAAATAAAATGCGGCAAAGGCATTCCACTTGTTTCTGAAACTAATATCCTAACAGATGAGACAGTTTCTTCCTCACTTAGTGGAATACTTGCATTTGGAGAACACAGTCACCTTGTCAGCAATCCGAATGTCCCAAAGCTGTTTGCAATCTCAAACTGTCCACCATGGAAGACAAAGACAACCTTGAGATGAGAGAGATCAGGGGTGCAGGGGAGTTTTGAAACATTCCCAGGATATTCCAGATCTCCTCTGCTCCAGCTCCAGCCTATTTGACTGTAGTCGTACCTGCCTGACACCTGCAGCCAGGCTACCTGGGTAATTTTTTTTTTTAATCAAAATGTTTTACCCACATACAAGAATTAGAGAGATAATACAAGTAGTACCATTGTCTAAGGCCATAAAATGTGGGGGCAATTTGTTAGACAACAGAGCAGTAGTAGGTATCCAGTTAACCAAGTGTGAGCTCATTACTGGAATGATGATCCTTATTAGTTCTTTAGAACCGGCTTTGTCATGAGCAGGTATCCGCATGTGTTTGGATCAGTTGCCAGATTCCCTGTGCAGTACCAATGTTTATTGGTCTATTACTGCAACAGTGCACACTGTCTTC